CAACACCATACCACTCATGGTTACTATGATATCAACACCATACCACTCCGGGGTTACTATATATTCAACACCATACCACTCCTGGTTTACTATATGTAGATCAACACAATACCATCCTGGTTACTATGATATCAACACCATACCACTCCTGGTTACTATGATTTTACTATGATATCAACACCATACCACTCCGGGTTACTATGATATCAACACCATACCACTCCTGGTTACTATGATATCAACACCATACCACTCCGGGTTACTATGATATCAACACCATACCACTCCGGGTTACTATGATATCAACACCATACCACTCCTGGTTACTATGATATCAACACCATACCACTCCGGGTTACTATGATATCAACACCATACCACTCCTGGTTACTATGATATCAACACCATACCACTCCGGGTTACTATGATATCAACACCATACCACTCCGGGTTACTTTGACTGCATCCACTTTTCCCAAAGCCTTCTTCACCATCCTCATGACTTCAAAAGGGTTTCCCAAATAAACATCTTCATCCAAAAAACATACTCCAACAAGGAACGATTCATCAGACTGATTTTCCACAACAATTTTAACAATTTTCGTTCCATTCTTGGACTTCACTGTTGTCCACTCATCTTTCTCGCTAACTGTCCTCGACATGCTTTCAGCTTCAAACGACACTTCTGCTTCCGCCATCTCACCGTCGTACCACACCCTGCAGCTGAAATGTCTTCAACTCTTGGTTAAATGGTGTTAACATACAGACATACAAACGAACATAGACCAGAAAACATACAGTATTCTTAGTAGCTTTTTGTCATCCCTGTGACAGTTGTAATCCCTCCTTTGTTCCTCTAGGTGGAAGCAGAGGACTTTGTGGATCTGATGGTCCTAAACGTTGTCAGAAAGAAGACATGATAAGAGTGAAGGAGATCATGGATGATTTCAAAGCGGTACAGAGTCCCAATATTCATTAAATTCAATGTGTTTATGATATAAAGAGATTGGTCACAGATATTAAATTACAGAATTAATTCTCTCAACCCGCTTTTTTCTACACTTTTCTCCCTCTCTCTTTCATCTCTCTCTCTCCCTCCATCCTTTTACTTTCCATTCCTCTCTGTGTTCATACTTATTGTAGTTTATTTGGGAACAGTCACCACAATTAGAAATAATGTTCATTCAATGAGTTGTATTTATTTTTTATGTCTTCATTTATTTTCCTATAAACAATTGTTATTTTAAAAAGTACTTAATGATAAATCGTGTACATCTTTGTTTGTGTAATGTTTAGCAGATTAATCGAGATATGTTGCATGTTTCTATAATAAAAGAATACTGAGATTTTAAAAAGAAATCAGAAGTCATTCTTTACATGTTCTTTGACAAAGATGCAATACACTTTTCTCTCACATACTGTATAGTTGTGTCATTGTGTTTATGTGAATGAGTCCTTGCAACAATAATCAGTATATTCAAACAGGTCAGTGATTGCAGTGCTATAATACTGCAGAAAGTATTCATACCCCTTGACTTATTCCACGTGTTGTTGTATTACAGCCTGAATTCAAAATGGATTCAATTAGGGGGGTTTTCTCACCCATCTACACACAAAACCCCATAATGACAAAGTGAAAACATGTTTTTAGAAATGCTTGCAAATTTATTGAAAATGAAACACAGAAATATCTAATTTACATAAGTATTAACACCCCTGAGTCAATACATGTTAGAGTCACCTTTAGCAGCGATTACAACTGTGAATATTTCTGGGTAAGTCACCAAGAGCTTTGCACACCTGCATTGTACAATATTTGCACATTATTTGTAAAAAAATAAGTATTCAAGTGCTGTCAAGTTGGTTGTTGATAATTGCTGGGCAGCCATTTTCGAGTCTTGCCATAGATTTTCAAGCCAATTTAAGCCAAAACTGTAACTAGGCAACTCGGAAACATTCAGTGGCATCTTGGTAAACAATTACAGTGTATTTGACCTTGGGTTTTAGGTTATTGTCCTGCTGAAAGGGGCATTTGTCTACTAGTGTCTGTTGAATAGCAGACAACCAGGTTTTCTTCTAGGATTTTGCCTGTGATATAGCTGTATTCCATTTATTTTTATCCTAAAAATCTCGGTACTTCTTTGCCGATGACAAGGATACCCATAACATGATGCAGCTACCACCATAATTGAAAATATGAAGAGTGGTATACAGTTATGTGTTGTGTTGGATTTGCCACAAACATAACACCTTGTATTTAGGACATACATTTCATTTCTTAGCCACATTTTTAGCAGTTTTACTTTAGTGCCTTATTGCAAACAGAAAGGGATACCTAGTCAGTTGTACAACTGAATGCATTCAACTGAAATGTGTCTTCCGCATTTAACCCAACCCCTCTGAATGTGGCAACTGAGTTAGGAAGGAAGCCTGTATCTTTGTAGTGACTGGGTGTATTGATACGCCATCTAAAGTGTAATTAATAACTTCACCATGCTCAAAGGGATATTCAATATCTGCTTCTTTTTTTTTTACCCATCTACCAATAGGTGTCCTTCTTTGTGAGGAATAGGAAAACCTCCCTTTTCTTTGTGCTTACATCAGTGTTTTAAATTCATTGTTCGACTGAGGGACCTTACAGATAATTGTATGTGTGGGGTACAGAGATGAGGTAGTCATTCAAAACACTATTAGTCATGTTAACACTACTATTGCATACAGAGTTAGTCCATGCAAATTATTATGTGACTTGTTAAGCACATTTTTACTCCCGAATATATTTAGGCTTGCCATAACAAAGGGGTTGAATACTTATTGAATCAAGACGTTTCAGCTTTTCATTTAATTAATTTTTAAACATTCCTGAAAACATAAATCGACTTTGACATAATGGGGTATTTTGTGTAGGCCAGTGACCCAAAATATGAATTTAATCCATTTTAAATGTAGGCTTTGACACAACAAAATGTGGAAAACGTCTATTGGTGTGAATACTTTCTGAAGGCACTGTATGTAGTGTTTGACAGTGTACAACTACATTCACAATTTTAATTGGCTGATGCGGATTTTGAGACAGAGGCAAAAAGTTTAATGTTTGTTAAAAGGGATCCCTGTTACCATATTTATTTACATTTATTGTTGTATGTTACACATTTACTTATGAGCAATTCTAATATCTTATTGTGAATACTAAGGTGTTATAAATGTTTTACAGGGCATTATATGTGTATGCGTCATAGAAATTGTTACTGGATATTTAACTTGTTGCAGAAGATGTCTTCAAATTTAACCAAACAGAAATTACCATATCAAATCTGATCTCATAAATCACCATATATCTGATCTCCTACAGTACCATATCATATCTGAGCTAATAAATTACCATATCATATCTAATAAATTATATGTGATCTGATCTCATACAGTATCATATCTGATCTGATCTCATATCATATCATAACATATCTGAACAGATCCCCTAATGATGTACCCAGGAAGGCTGTGGGTGGTGGAGAACAGATCCCCTAATGCTGCATTCAAAACACCTGGGAAATCAGAAATCTCAGACTTCAGTATGTTCAAGACACCTGTTAAGGTGTAGATGTGTAGAAATTATGTTGAATATAATAATAACCTACATTTATTAATCTGACTCCATTATTATGTGAACGCTATAGGTCCATAATGGTATCCAGTGGGTATAGCTAAGGTTGGAGCCTTAGAAGATGCACATGTTTAGGTTTTAAGTTCAAGTTCCAGAATACTGCATAGAAGTTCTAAATGTGAATATTTCATCCAACAGGAGTATTGTGTTGCTAGTTGGGCAGAGTTTGCTCTTTTGGGACTATCCCATCGGTTCCTTTGTACTGGGTAAGCTAAGTAAAAAAAAGAAACAACTAACATTACCAGAGAGAGGTCAAAGACAAAACTGATCCTAGATCAACACTCTTACTCTGGGATGCTTTGTGAATATGGGCTCTGGTCACATGTCCATGGATGACACAACCCTTCTAGTGGTCAATTCTGGTACTGCTATAACTTTACTGATAACGACTGTTTTCTATCTATTAACTACAGTGTATTTACTGTACTACGTCAACTAATAACTGACACCATTTAGAAGGAAAACATTGGAGTTACTATTCATACATTACTACACTTAGTATTACAGTATACCTGACAAGTAAATGACATACCTAGATCACATTTACATTTACATTTACGTCATTTAGCAGACGCTCTTATCCAGAGCGACTTACAGTTAGTGAATAAATTTTTTTTTTAATACTGGCCCCCCGTGGGAATCGAACCCACAACCCTGGCGTTGCAAACGCCATGCTCTATCAACTGAGCTACATCCCTGCCGGCCATTCCCTCCCCTACCCTGGACGACGCTGGGCCAATTGTGCGTCGCCCATGAGTCTCCCGGTCGCGGCCGGCTGTGACAGAGCCTGGATTCGAACCAGGATCTCTAGTGGCACAGTTAGCACTGCGATGCAGTGCCTTAGACCACTGCGCCACTCATACCTGGATCACAGTATATAGATGTATTTAATCAGTAGAATGAACAGATGGTACATATGGAACAGAATGGAAGCAAAAATAGAAAACTACTGCATTTGAAATGGATTGATAACTGTAAAAACTTAAATGAAAAAAGAATCTTATTCAATTGTTATATGCACACATTAAATGGTAAAAATTGTAAATATAGTTTTTAAAAATGTCAACCACAGTTAGAGCCTACTAGACCACAGTTAGAGCCTACTAGACCACAGTTAGAGCCTACTAGACCACAGTTAGAGCCTACTAGACCACAGTTAGAGCCTACTAGACCACAGTTAGAGCCTACTAGACCACAGTTAGAGCCTACTAGACCACAGTTAGAGCCTACTAGACCACAGTTAGAGCCTACTAGACCACAGTTAGAGCCTACTAGACCACAGTTAGAGCCTACTAGACCACAGTTAGAGCCTACTAGACCAGTTAGAGCCTACTAGACCACAGTTAGAGCCTACTAGACCACAGTTCCACTCCCCTGGGCCTGATGAACGGTGGACAAACTCCACATAGCCCTGGTCTCTTTAAAGACATCAAATACATATTTCAATGTAGATACACATAGAAACACGTTAGGCCTAACAAAAGGGAAAACCAGTGCAACTCCATAAGATAGGGGCTTACATTAGTTATTATAATTAGACTACGGTGTGAACGGTTTTTCACACACCCAGTAATTTGAAGTACATTTTACAACCTTCCAACTCTTCAATGGGTCTGATGCCGTCTGTGAGATCTCAATACAAGCCACCTCGTCATTTAAGTTACTTGGTTCCCCTTCCATCCAATAGCTATAAACAACACAGAGAATCAGAGTTTAATATAATCCAATAGAAAATAGAGAATCAGTCGGTTAACCTAGTCTCCAGGCTCAATTGCTACCATTCGACAGAGAGTGAGAGAGACATCTGGCTGAGGACAAGATTATCGGACTGTAAAAAGTAATTTATTACAACAGAAAAAAAGTCCTCCAGAACCTGTTCACTTACGTAGGTTTAAATGCTGTGTCTTCAACCCACTCCCAGATTCCGTTGTTTTTAGTTGCACCAATCCAGACATTCTTCTTTAATCCATGGATAAATATCTATAATATCATTTTGGAAGAAAAACAATGGCCATTATTTAATCTCCACAGCAGAGGAACACTTTTACATTTTTATAAATAATAATAGTAGTAGTAGTCTAATAGTAGTAGTATTAGTATAATGTACTGAGCCTGGTCAATAGAAATACAAGGGGATTTAGGATGTTTGAAAAGGTCCTGAGTACTTTGATATATGCCTTCCTCAGCGCTCACAAAGAAATACAAAAATGTTGCCGAGCACTGGTGCAAACTCAGGAAGCTTGGAGGGGAAGCGTGCTCACACCACACAGACCAATCTGCACTGACGACTGCGCCACGGCAGTTCACAATGCTCAGGCAAGAGGGAGAGTACTTGATGGAAACAGAGCATTGTTTTTAATCATTTTTGTTTGAAGCCTTCCCCAACCAATTGCCCTAACCTTAACCCCTAACCATAACCCTTTGAGTTGTTTCTGTTTTAACCCTGTAACCTCACAGAATTAACCCTGTAACCACATGGAATGAATGCGTCAAAAATAGACTTTGATCCAGATTACGTTGAATGTCGAAGTGAAACTATGAGATCAGGTTGCAGCCTCAGCTGCTATACTATAGTATAGGTATATACAGTGGGGAGAACAAGTATTTGATACACTGCCGATTTTGCAGGTTTTCCTACTTACAAAGCATGTAGAGGTCTGTAATTTTTATCATAGGTACACTTCAACTGTGAGAGACGGAATCTAAAACAAAAATCCAGAAAATATTGTCTATTGGGTTCAGGTCTGGAGACTGGCTAGGCCACTCCAGGACCTTGAGATGCTTCTTACGGAGCCACTCCTTAGTTGCCCTGGCTGTGTGTTTCGGGTCGTTGTCATGCTGGAAGACCCAGCCACGACCCATCTTCAATGCTCTTACTGAGGGAAGGAGGTTGTTGGCCAAGATCTCGCGATACATGGCCCCATCCATCCTCCCCTCAATACGGTGCAGTCGTCCTGTCCCCTTTGCAGAAAAGCATCCCCAAAGAATGATGTTTCCACCTCCATGATTCACGGTTGGGATGGTGTTCTTGGGGTTGTACTCATCCTTCTTCTTCCTCCAAACACTGCGAGTGGAGTTTAGACCAAAAAGCTCTATTTTTGTCTCATCAGACCACATGACCTTCTCCCATTCCTCCTCTGGATCATCCAGATGGTCATTGGCAAACTTCAGACGGGCCTGGACATGCGCTGGCTTGAGCAGGGGGACCTTGCGTGCGCTGCAGGATTTTAATCCATGACGGCGTAGTGTGTTACTAATGGTTTTCTTTGAGACTGTTGTCTCAGCTCTCTTCAGGTCATTGACCAGGTCCTGCCGTGTAGTTCTGGGCTGATCCCTCACCTTCTTCATGATCATTGATGCCCCACGAGGTGAGATCTTTCATGGAGCCCCAGACCGAGGGTGATTGACCGTCATCTTGAACTTCTTCCATTTTCTAATAATTGTGGCAACAGTTGTTGCCTTCTCACCAAGCTGCTTGCCTATTGTCCTGTAGCCCATCCCAGCCTAGTGCAGGTCTACAATTTTATCCCTGATGTCCTTACACATCTCTCTGGTCTTGGCCATTGTGGATAGGTTGGAGTCTGTTTGATTGAGTGTGTGGACAGGTGTCTTTTATACAGGTAACGAGTTCAAACAGGTGCAGTTAATACAGGTAATGAGTGGAGAACAGGAGGGCTTCTTAAAGAAAAACTAACAGGTCTGTGAGAGCCGGAATTCTTACTGGTTGGTAGGTGATCAAATACTTATGTCATGCAATAAAATGCAAATTAATTACTTAAAAATCATACAATGTGATTTTCTGGATTTTTGTTTTAGATTCCGTCTCTCACCGTTGAAGTGTACCTATGATAAAAATTACAGACCTTTACATGCTTTGTAAGTAGGTAAACCTGCAAAATCAGCAGTGTATCAAATACTTGTTCTCCCCACTGTATATACTCTCATGCAAACTTGCTTTGCTGACAGGAAGTATATTCTATAAATTGACAGTGACATGAACATTGGTGATACAATTATTTACACATTGAATACTAATCAGAGATGTAGATAATGATTAATAATTATAATAATACTAAAGAAACAGTAGTATTATAGCATTACTAATGTATTCTCTATTACCTGTTCTTCTCTGCTGTTGATAACAACCAACTCTCCACCCATTGCTCTGCACTGCTGCTGACCGTCCCCGGCAGAGTCCCTCGTGGAGGAGACATAATAACAGCTGGTGCCAAACTTCCACCATTCATTCAGACAGGGTTTCTCTGAAATAAATGAAATAGAACAGCAGGCATTTCAAAGTCTACAAATAAATTACATCTCTTCTAAGTATGAAATAAAATGATACTTGTAAATTAAGAAAATAAAAGACTGCACTCACCATAGGACCTAAGCCTGGTTTTTAACTGGTCTCTCTCAGTGGTCCTGGTATTTAGACTATTCTGTAGCTGGTCTCTCTCTGTGGTCCTGGTATTTAGAATATTCTGTAGCTGGTCTCTCTCTGTGGTCCTGGTATTTAGACTATTCTGTAGCTGGTCTCTCTCTGTGGTCCTGGTATTTAGACTATTCTGTAGCTGGTCTCTCTCTGTGGTCCTGGTATTTAGACTATTCTGTAGCTGGTCTCGCGCTACAGTGGCATCTGTAAAAGGGAAAAGTCAATCAAAATGTGTAACCGTCACAACATTGACTACAAATGTTTTAGTAAAAAAAAAAAAAAACACTTACAGGAAACCCACAGGCCTATGATCACAGCCAGTAGAACACACACTGCAGCAACTCCAGAGGGTCTCTCCCACCACTGTACTGAATCACAAATTATTAAAGTAAGATCTTTGGTAATGTGTTAATGTGTTTTACTTGTATAATCAGTGCTTTATTTGAGCTGGATCCTGCGGTAACAGGATCCGGCACCTCTCCATTTTGGACTGATGCGTTACAGAACCTATTTGGCCGGATCCGCTACCTTTCGTAGCATGAAAAATGATTGTTACTGTTTGCAATGTAAAAATTATGATTAAAGCGCTTAAATAACAAGGATAGTTTAAGCGCTTTAATCATAATTTTTAATTCTCCCGCCCCCTAAAAAAATATGCAATGTGAAGATGTCGATTTTCAGCCCGCGCCTGATATTCTGAAAATACTAAACTTTTAACTACTTTATCACACATTATGTTATTTCTAAATGGTTCACCCGATATGGATGAAAATACCATCAAATTAAAGCTGACTGTCTGCACTTTAACCTCATAGTCATGATTTCAAATCCAAACTTTTGGAGTATAGAGCCATAAGAAGAAATGCTGCACTGTCCCAATAACTACCGAGGACACTGTAGATAGGGGTAAGGTAGAGACAGGTAGCCTCAATATTAACGGAGGACACTGTAGATAGGGGTAAGGTAGAGGCAGGTAGCCTCAATATTAAACGGAGGACACTGTAGATAGGGGTAAGGTAGAGGCAGGTACCTCAATATTAACAGAGGACACTGTAGTAGGGTAAGGTAGAGGAAGGTAGCCTCAATATTAACGGAGGACACTGTAGATAGGGGTAAGGTAGAGGCAGGTAGCCTCCATATTAACGGAGGACACTGTATATAGGGGTAAGGTAGAGGCAGGTAGCCTCCATATTAACAGAGGACACTGTAGATAGGGGTAAGGTAGAGGCAGGTAGTCTCAATATTAACAGAGGACACTGTAGATAGGGGTAAGGTAGAGGCAGGTAGCCTCAATATTAACGGAGGACACTGTAGGTAGGGGTAAGGTAGAGGCAGGTAGCCTCAATATTAACGGAGGACACTGTAGATAGGGGTAAGGTAGAGGCAGGTAGCCTCAATATTAACGGAGGACACTGTAGGTAGGGGTAAGGTAGAGGCAGGTAGCCTCAATATTAACGGAGGACACTGTAGATAGGGGTAAGGTAGAGGCAGGTAGCCTCAATATTAACAGAGGACACTGTAGATAGGGGTAAGGTAGAGGCAGGTAGCCTCAATATTAACAGAGGACACTGTAGGTAGGGGTAAGGTAGAGGCAGGTAGCCTCAATATTAACGGAGGACACTGTAGGTAGGGGTAAGGTAGAGGCAGGTAGCCTCAATATTAACGGAGGACACAGTGTTGGGCCTGTAACTGAAAGGTTGCTGGTTTGAATACCGGAGCAGACAAGGTGAAAAATATGTTGCAGTGCCCTTTAGCAAGGCACTTAATCCTAATTGCTCCAGGGGCGCTGTGCATTGGAGCCATTGTGATCATTGTCAAGAAGTCACACCCATTCGCGTTCAGAGTGAGAAAGTAAAGGCTATAGAGAAATAATTACGCTCAAATGATGAGGATTTCTATCATCTTTAACAGGAGGAAAAGTAGAATATTAGTCAAAGTAGAAAATATACTGTACCTTTACATCCCATGCTGACACATCCATTATGATTTGTTCAGTCATTTTGATAACTAGTTAAAAATAAATAAACTTTGACACCAGACATAATACTTTAGTAGGGTACTTCCTTACCTGTGGTGAGGGTTGTTGACACCAGTTTACTTTGCTTTCCATTTTCCAACACAGTGCAGACAGTGACAGAGTACTGACTACCACCTTGCAGGTCAGAGAGAGTGATGCTGTGTGAAGATGTGGTGATGTAGTGGGGTTCTGTCCCTGGACCGTAGTAGATGATCTGGTAATGATGTTGGGTTTGGTCCAATCCTCGTGGCTGGCTCCAGCTAACAGCAGCTGATGTGGTGTCTACTGAGTCAATATTCAGCTGATCTGGAGCTGGGGGTGCTAAGGGAAAATAGATTATTTTTAGGGCTAAAGTTTAACTCCAGAAATATATTACAGGAGGAAAAGTAGAAATGGCCGGCTTACAATTCCTTTTGATATGGAAAGAAATATGTTAAAAAAACAATAGAAGTCACAACATTGGTTAGATTTGTAAAGTAACAAATTAGAGGTTTCTGCTGTATTCATTTATTAACGGTGCTGCTACATTGTCGCCGCCACTCCAATTTCTTTCAATATAAAGAATGCTGTGATTATAAATACTCTCCACAATAAGAAGTGTTTTACACTAGTACTGATAAAGTTAAAGCAAGCAGAGGCAGATCAACTACTTGATTTATTGACTCACACTAATGGGAAGCGAGCAAGAATTCAGATACTATAAACGCTGTTTATTGATTTCAGCACCAAACTGCATTATGAGATCTGCGGAATTCACCATGATACAGTGGGGGAAAAAAGTATTTAGTCAGCCACCAATTGTGCAAGTTCTCCCACTTAAAAAGATGAGAGAGGCCTGTAATTTTCATCATAGGTACACGTCAACTATGACAGACGAATTGAGGAAAAAAAATCCAGAAAATCACATTGTAGGATTTTTAATGAATTTATTTGCAAATTATGGTGGAAAATAAGTATTTGGTCACCTACAAACAAGCAAGATTTCTGGCTCTCACAGACCTGTAACTTCTTCTTTAAGAGGCTCCTCTGTCCTCCACTCGTTACCTGTATTAATGGCACCTGTTTGAACTTGTTATCAGTATAAAAGACACATGTCCACAACCTCAAACAGTCACACTCCAAACTCCACTATGGCCAAGACCAAAGAGCTGTCAAAGGACACCAGAAACAAAAGTGTAGACCTGCACCAGGCTGGGAAGACTGAATCTGCAATAGGTAAGCAGCTTGGTTTGAAGAAATCAACTGTGGGAGCAATTATTAGGAAATGGAAGACATACAAGACCACTGATAATCTCCCTCGATCTGGGGCTCCACGCAAGATCTCACCCCGTGGGGTCAAAATCATCACAAGAACGGTGAGCAAAAATCCCAGAACCACACGGGGGGACCTAGTGAATGACCTGCAGAGAGCTGGGACCAAAGTAACAAAGCCTACCATCAGTAACACATTACGCCGCCAGGGACTCAAATCCTGCAGTGCCAGACGTGTCCCCCTGCTTAAGCCAGTACATGTCCAGGCCCGTCTGAAGTTTGCTAGACTGCATTTGGATGATCCAGAAGAGGATTGGGAGAATGTCATATGGTCAGATGAAACCAAAATAGAACTTTTTGGTAAAAACTCAACTCGTCGTGTTTGGAGGACAAAGAATGCTGAGTTGCATCCAAAGAATACCATACCTACTGTGAAGCATGGGGGTGGAAACATCATGCTTTGGGGCTGTTTTTCTGCAAAGGGACCAGGACGACTGATCCGTGTAAAGGAAAGAATGAATGGGGCCATGTATCGTGAGATTTTGAGTGAAAACCTCCTTCCATCAGCAAGGGCATTGAAGATGAAACGTGGCTGGGTCTTTCAGCATGACAATGATCCCAAACACACCGCCCGGGCAACGAAGGAGTGGCTTCGTAAGAAGCATTTCAAGGTCCTGGAGTGGCCTAGCCAGTCTCCAGATCTCAACCCAATAGAAAATCTTTGGAGGGAGTTGAAAGTCCGTGTTGCCCAGCGACAGCCCCAAAACATCACTGCTCTAGAGGAGATCTGCATGGAGGAATGGGCCAAAATACCAGCAACAGTGTGTGAAAACCTTGTGAAGACTTACAGAAAACGTTTGACCTGTGTCATTGCCAACAAAGGGTATATAACAAAGTATTGAGAAACTTTTGTTATTGACCAAATACTTATTTTCCACCATAATTTGCAAATAAATTCATTAAAAATCCTACAATGTGATTTTCTGGAATTGTTTTTATCATTTTGTCTGTCATAGTTGACGTGTACCTATGATGAAAATTACAGGCCTGTCTTTCATCTTTTTAAGTGGGAGAACTTGCACAATTGGTGGCTGACTAAATACTTTTTTCCCCCAATGTATATTTCTCATCAGGGAAGATACTGTACCTTTACATCCAATGCTGACACATCCATTATGATTAGTTTAGAGTCATTTTGATAACTAGTTAATGTTTAATCAACTTTGACACTAGATATATTACTTAAGTTGGGTACTTCGTTACCTTTGGTGAGGGTTGTTGACACCAGTTTACTTTTCTTTCCATTTTCCAACACAGTGCAGACAGTGACAGAGTACTGAGTACCACATTGCAGGTCAGAGAGAGTGAGGCTGTGTGAAGATGTGATAGTGTAGTGGGGTTTTGTCCCTGGACACTGGTAGGAGATCTGGTAATGATGTTGGGTTTGGTCCAATCCTGGTGGCTGGTTCCAGCTAACAGTACCTGACGTGGTGTCAACAGTTAGCTCGTCCGGAGCAGGAGGTACTGAGGGAAAATAAACTGTTGTTAATCTCTAGAAACTACAGAAGGGAAAGTAGAATAGTACTTGAAAAATCAAAAAAGGTCAGCTTTGCAGTCTGCAATTTATTTTGATATGGGAAGAAATAAGCTAAGGCAGAAGTCACACAACATAGGTTAGATTTGTAATGTAATAAAAATGAAGAGTTTATGCTATATTCATTCATTTATATAAATTAAAAGAATGGTGTGATTATACAGTGGCTTGCGAAAGTATTCACACCCCCCCCTTGGCATTTTTACTATTTTGTTGCCTTACAACCTGGAATTACATTTACATTTTACATTTTAGTCATTTAGCAGACGCTCTTATCCAGAGCGACTTACAGGAGCAATTAGGGTTAAGTGCCTTGCTCAAGGGCACATTTACGTCATTT